GGCTGCCAAAAACTTCATTAGCAACTTTTCAACCAGGCTCCTAGCTGCTCCACCGTACCGCTTGTTGCAATCAAGGCGATCAGCAAGTGAACCCGCCTGGGTGATAACCCATGGCGGTCCACCAAAGAAGACAAAAACAAGATGGACTCTCTATATGAGAAGTGAGCTGTGGCAATTCTGCCACAGGATAGGGTGATGTATGGATCAAGAAGTAGTATTGAAAGTTTTATTATTTTCTGTCATTCATAGTCTGGTTTTCTCCCCAGCAGGGACCAAGAGCACCTTATGTCATTCTCCTCTCCGTCTTTACAATAAGCCTGTGAGATATATTATGGCTGACAGTGTGCGACTGGCCCAAGATCCCACAGCAAGCTTCCAGGGCAAAGCAGGGATTCGAACTCAGGTCTCCTAGATCCTAATCTGTAACTCTAACCATTAAGAACTGCACAAGAAGGGACTGATGTCAGCTTTCCACCAAAGCCATGACAGGCTTCACAAATTCATTCACACTTGGCTCCACAACCACAATAGCACCAGAGTCAGATGCCACTGTTTCTTGGAGAAAAAGGACTTCTTGGAACAGAACAGATGCCACCACAGCCTGCCATTCCCAAATGGGATGCTTCTCACAGGGGCACAGGCATGGACTGATAGAGGGGCAAGAAAAGAAAGAAATCTGACAGGCAGGACAGTTGGGGCAGCCAAGACGGAGCACAAAGGGACAATGGCTTCGGATGCAGACCCAAAATGTTTCCCAAGGAAAAAGCCACTTGCAGCAGCAAGGCTTCAGCCTTCCATACCTTCACCCAGTCTGGGATCCCAGCAGCATCCAGCAAAACAGGAAACAGCTCTGCAAAGCCCAATGGAACCAAGAACAACTGCAGAGCAGATGGCCTTACCAAAGCCCACCTGTGGAGTGAAGAAGAGTGGCCACTCCTCAGCTGCAGCACCACTGGTCAAAGCCCAACAGAATGGTGGCAATTGACTGTGAGATGGGAGGCACTGGGCTGGGGGGTGGAGCAGCGACATGGCCCGATGCAGCATCACGGTCTACTACAGTGACATGATGTATGACAAATGCATCCGGCCAGTCAACCCCATTAGCAATTACTAGACTATGTGGAGTGGCATCCGGAGGCATCATGTAACAAATGCTGTCCCTTTTAGGGCAGCTCAGAAAGAGGTGAGAAGACACCGGAGTTCACTGTTCAAGTTCCTTGCTGAGGCCTTCAAAGACTTGCCACTTTTAGTTTGAATGCCTTGTGAACTTCCTAAATGTAAGTTCCTCAGTCCAAGCTTTCTAAATGTAAGTGGCTGTGGCTTAGTGGAAGAGCTTCTGCTTAGCATGCAGAAGGTCCCAGGTTCAATCCCCGCCATCTCCACTTAAAAGGATCAGGCAGCAGGTGATGTGAAAGACCTCAACCTGAGACCCTGAAGAACCACTGCCAGCCTAAGGAGACAGTACTAACTGTGATGGACCAGTGATCTGATTCAGTAGAAGGCAACTTTGTGTATGTGTGTGTTCAATAGGTGGCCCATGGGTACAATCAGAACCACCTTACCTTCTGAGCTCTGCTTCTTCTCTAGGAACTGTCATTGCCCATCCCAAGTGATGCTGCACATATTGTAAGAAAACATGACGACCTAGGCTAAAGCAGGACAGCAGCACAGAGTGGCTGGCCCATACCACATTCCACGGACAGGTTAATTGAGAAATGCCCTCAGGAGCCACTGAAATGGTTTGCAATTGCAGGACAGACAAGCAGACAGCACTCCAGAAACTTAGTGGCAATTCTTCCCTGCGACAAATGAAGAGGCCTCAATCTATACCTACCTGTATCCAGATATGCAGAATGTTTTCAAAGATATAAAAAAGGGTGGCGGAAGAGAGGCAACCAGGATCTGGCAAGGATCAGCAGAAGCAGCTTCCTGGGGAGGTTGTTGAATAGTTTAAAGGAAGGTCATATAGGCATCCATCAGCATTTGCTTAGGCCTGAACTAGAAAAATCCAAGGGAGCTGGCTGTTGAAACATCTGAAAATTTTAAACAGACCTGTGCAAGGAGAGTACCTAAAATCTCATGATGGCTCCAAAACAGCCATCTTTCAGTCCCAATTTCCAGGCTGTGTCTCGAGTTGCCTCCTTTCTGCATGACTTTAAACCTCATTGCCTCTCATGATTCTCCTCGACAGGAATCTTTCTTCCTTCTGCTGCTCCCTGCATTAGCCTGACTTGCACATTTGGAAAATGCTGTTCTATAATAAACGGTCAACTACTGCCCCACAAGCACACTCTCTTTCTTCCACCTTTTACCCTCTTTCCTTCAGTGACTTGTTTGAAGGCTGCACTGGCTTCAGAGGAACCTTGTAACATGAAACAGACTTTCTTCCGAGAGGAGGACACCCTGCTCGTGATCCCTCCAAGCACAGGCACACATACCTGCCTGGAGCCTCTACAGAGACAGGCAGTTCCAGCAAGGCGCATTTAGGAGAAAATGACATCTCAGGCACAAGCACCAATTATTCTCTCAATGAGCTTCATAAATTTTAATGCCAGTCAAGTTCAAGGGTGATAAAGACTGCATTTAAGGCAAGCCCTGCAGAACAGTCGGACAAAACTTCCCAGGAAGAAGACAATCCCACGGAGAAAAAGGGAACATCTGCCTGGAAACCAAGGGACAGTACGAAGTCCAGAACAGGGCTCAGGCTTCATAAGTAAATGAACCATTACAGGCAGATTGTTCACAACACATTATATCAACTCAGCTTTTCTGCTGAGCCCTTTCACACATTTAGTTAGGCATCATCAAATGATGCATATATATGAATTAGGAGCAGTTCACACAACTATGAAGTTCTTAGGCACTCATCTTCAAAACAGATTTCCGATATGCTAAGTTTTTCAAAGAGCATGAAGACATGTACAGAGCATTACAGGCAGCAAGGTAATTAAAGTCAGGTTGCAAGGTACCTTTAAAGGTGGGTTGTAAAGTACTTTGCAGCATAAATAAAGAAGGCCATTTTATTACCATCCCCCTTACCGTAAGAACTGCCATTCAGCTAGGCTGTCAGAGAACAGACCAGGCACAGGCTCAGCCAGAACTTTATGAGATATACCTGGGTTTCTCTGTGACTTGGCAAAAAGATAAGTATGCACCAAAAAAGAAGGCCACATGCAAATAGCTGTCACTCAGAGAGAATGCGGATACCACAAGAAGCTGCAGGGAGAGGGAAGAGGGGGGGAGAAGAGCTCAGTTTGCTATTTTGGAGGCCCTGGGCCTTACCAAACAGGTTCTGACAGCTGCATCCCTCCAATGGTGAGCACAGCCACACCTTCTCTTGCTTTCTGCAGCAGCTGCAGAGTGTCCAGAGGAGGCATTTGGGAGCCATAAGACAGGGAATTTACACACACACACTTGTGGCATCCACAAGTAGCAGTCTCCTGGTGCAAGAATCCTCTCTTGCTGACAGAACAGTTGCTCAGCACTCTGCCTATAATGGAAGTGCTGACACAGGCTACTGGCATCTAGACACTGCACTGGCCGGCAGATTGCAAAGGCAGAGCCCCCCAAGGTGGCTCACTGAATGACATAGCTGTTCTTTCACACCCTCTCACACTATGCCAGGGATTCCTACTAGGTCAATGACAGGGAATGAAATTTCATGGAGTCATGAACATTTGTGGCAAAAAGGTCCAGAACCTGATCACCTTTCTATGTAACCAACACACAGTATCACCAAGCTGGAAAGTACCTAATATTTACCTAGCTAGCTCACCCAATCTCCAAGAATGGATGCCCCATAAAGCATCCTGACAGTTTGTTTTTTTTAAAAAGACACCAAGAGACATCCTCCTCCCCTACTCAAACGGCTTTGTCACAGCTGAACTGTTCTCAAATTTAGCAGTGCCTTTTTAGACACCATCTCTCTCCCCATAACTTGATGCCGTCCTTCTTCATCCTAAATGTAAGCAACCTTCTCCATTACATCATGGCAGGTGACAGCCCGTTAGACAGGGACAGGCAATGGGGATCTGGACCACGGATCCAAAAGTATAGGTCCAGAACATCACCTTTCTGTGTGACCAATGCACAGAATCCTAAAGCTGAAAAGAACCTAATACAGCAAGCCTCTTTTTTAGTTAAGGGGCCAGAACTGAGAGCTAAAACACCTCTCCTTACAGCATCCTACCAACCTGCTTAAGCAGAAGTTGCCTGTGTGGCACTTTCCTGCACTTTTAGAATGTACTGGCTTCACATCACTGTAGAAGAAAGAAGAGAAGACCATCCCTGATCCAGAAGAAAGGCTATTCAACCTCCCAACATTTAACCCTCATGGTTACGCTCACTTACACTGTGAAAATGTCCTAGCTTGAACTGAAAGCCCCCAGTGCACATATACCACACACTGGATCAATATGTATGCTTCGCCTTTCGAGAGGCATATGCCACTGAGCTACACACGCACGGTCTCCAAAAGGCAAGGTGTTTAGTATCAACCATCCTCACCACCTTGCAGGAGTAACATTAAGATGCCAAGGGTCCCACAAAGCAAAGCCCACCCAGTTCAGTAAGCCTCCCGGCCAAGTACTTGAGTATATCTCCTAATCACTCTTTGGGTGAAGAAGTACATCTCTCTCCAAGTCAGACCTGCTTTGAATATACTTCCAGAAAGTCATCCCATCAGGAAAGATGGAGGGGGGAGGCCAGGCCCATCACTTCAACTCCCCAGAGGGACCACTGGCCCCAGGAGGGATGGGTAGGAGAACAAAAACCCAGAGCTCCAGATTCATTAAATGTTTGGGCTGGATCAGGATGGGAGAGGGGAAACCAGAGGAGGGGCTCTTTGTCTGTGGGCCATGGGGTGGCGGCGGCCGCTCAGCCGTTCTGGGGCCCCAGAGCTGTCAGGCAATCTCGGCCAGGCTGGAGACATGACTCTGAAGGCGCCGCTCTCCCCGGCTGTCGGAGAGGCGGCCCATCCTGGGTCCCCAAGAAAGGCACACGGCGACGCATCCCAGGCCGAGGTGCCCTCTCAGCGCCGGCCGGCAGCCCAAGGGGGCCAGCGGGGGTTGCCGCGCCTGGCGAGCAAGCTCTGTGGCCACGGCACACCTGGGCAGCCAGCTGACGGGGGTAAATGACCCGTCGTCCCAGCCGATCCCCAAGGATGGGCCCTGAAGGAGCTCTGGCCGAGCTGCGTAGCAGAATTCTGCACGCCTCCCCCCCCATCGTGAAGACGCGCGTGCATCGACGCGGCCCTGTGAACGCCCCCACACCAACCTGGTGGGTCCCTTGTTATTATTTCAACCCTGTGCCGGCGCGGCAACGGCGGCTGGCTCCCTCCTCCGGCCTGCCTCTTCCTACCCACGGCGGCGGCGGAGACTCCTCCGGCTCTTCGGCCTCCGAGTCCGCACCAACCGGGCCGGCTCTGCGGGAGGGGGAAAGAGGGCCCTCCCGCGCATGCGCCGCCCCCCACCAGGCTTCCAGAGCAGGGACCTGTCGGGCCTCGGCCTTAGCCCCGCCTCTCTTCCCGCTGCCATAGCAACCGCAAAGGGCGGGAGAGAGAGCGGGCGACTGAGCCGGCTCTCATAGCAACCGCAGCCTTAAAAGCCCCGCCCACACGCTCTCCCCTCTCTTTCCTTCATCTTATACCTGCTCTGGCCTCACACTTGGGTCGATCTGATCCATTCGGACAGGTCCCACTCTTGACTCCCTGGCACGCCTTTCTAAGGAGTTTCTGGAATCTTGGTTAAAGTGCCTTCTGTCCTCTACAAAGTTTTTTTTTAAGACGAATGGTCGTGTGCAGAGTGCCCTTGAGCATGTTCAGAGTGCCTTCCTTTTTCTGAAGGGGATCAGCTTCTGTTGAAAACTAACAGGGCACATTGGTTTTACGTCATAGGCAGAATGGCCGCTGTGATCTTTCGTTTATTGTTTTCTAAAACAACAAAAGGGGGGTAGAGAAAGTAGGAAAATAAAACACTGAAGGCACTTTCCCCTCTCCCAGAAGGGTGGCCTTCTGGTCAGTTGGCAACCCTTCAAGGTCACAAGAGTCAGAGGAAAACAATTACATAAGTGTTGTCAAAGTGGTGAGTAGGATAGCAACAATGTTCGGGGTACTAAAGAGGGACCCATTGTGGACATTTCAAGGCTTAGAGGAATTTTGTGAGATGAAGTGCCAACCTAGTGCATCTGTTGCCAAAAGCAGGGAAATGACAAGCCCAGGAGGTCTATGCTTGCTAGTCTCTTTTCTGACTTCACAAGAACAGAACAAGTCATGCACCCATCAATTTGTCTGCAGCCAGAAGAAAATGAGCTGCTTCCTGGCATCCCGTACAGATTGGATGGAAGGTGGTGAAGGTATGGAACTGGGGGCTATGCAGACAGGACTTTTCAGAGGTTTGTTATTGTTTTTTCACTATTTACAACATTTTTCTCCATTGCTGCTTTCCATTATGTGCTGTTTGACAATATAGGTCAGTGTACTTTCCCAGCTTTTTAAAAGATAAGCTTGTAAATGTACCTATCGCATGCCCAGAGCAAGTTATAATACATGATGTAAAAAGTACGTAAAAAGAGCTATATAAACTATTAAACTGTCTATTCGATCTAGTTTCTATGTTTGACAAGATCACTTGCTTAATGTATTGTTAATTAATAAATATGTTTGCACCCCTACTTTCTTCTATGGAAGTCAAGATGGCTTACATCACATTTATAAGGTGGTCTTCCAAACAGGGCGCTGAACAGACCCGGCCTTGTTTGACTTCAGCTAGGTTGCTGTTAGCATGTGTCTTCATACTGCATATCTCTTGATCAACACTTTTCACATGAGAGAATCTTCAGTAAACTGGGGGAAGGGGATTCGATTAGAAGATGCTGCTAAAAGGACAGTGGTTGATTTAATTTTTTTTTAATATTCCAAGGTTGATGTTGTCCTCAATCTTGTACCCTCTAACAGAAAGTCCTGCCATCCAATCCCAGACGTATCAGGGAAGGCTGTGGTTACTCAGTGGGGAGGGGACTGCACTCTGCCTATGCTCAGAGACATTCTCTCTTTTTTGTTACTTCACAGGCTCAAGGGAGAAGCTCCTGCACTAAAAATAGGTTCTGGGGCTGAGCTTACAGAATACCTGATCTAACTAAATTATGCATTAGGAGGTGTTTATTTAGAAAACTGATATGCTTCCTCAACTTGATATATTAAAAAGCCACAAACCAAGATCAGTAAAGCAGAGACTCTGACATGTCAAAAAAGGGTTGTTGTTCTGTGTGCAGCACAGTTCACCGAAGGAGAGGCGGTTCTGTGCCTGTGAAATTACTGGATGATAAAATACTGGATAGGACTACAGAGGACAGAAATAAAATCCAATACCTGGATGCCTTGTACCTCAGGGCTGTAAGCAAACATAGAACTAAACAAGTACAAAAATAACAATTTCATACTGCATTAAAAAGCAGGAGCCCAATCACACTGGCAGCTTTCCTGCTCAAGCAGCACTACATTCGTGAAGAACACTATCAGGAAACTTCCTGCCTTGCCCCCAACCTTATTTGCCTCCCACTAAAATATCTTCCTGACTCCTGGTTGCCACAGGGGACAAAGGGAATTATCTGGAACTCAGGCAAAGCCAAAAGCACAGCTTGAAAACTGCCATCCTCTAGAGCAGTGGTTAACATAAGAACATAAGAGACGCCAATGTTGGATCAGGCCAAAGGCCCATCTAGTCCAACACTCTGTCACACAGTGGCCAAAAATACCAGGTGCCATCAGGAGGTCCACCAGTGGAGCCAGGACATTAGAAGCCCTCCCACTGTTGCCCCCCCAAGCACCAAGAAGACAGAGCATCACTTGCCCCAGAGCCCCTATCTATACCTTGTGGCTAATAGCGACTGATGGACCTCTGCTCCATATGCCTCGGACTTTTTGAAAGAGGACTCAGTTCTAACATGTATTTACTTCATTTATACTCCATCTCTCTCCCCAATGAGGACCTACAGTGGCTTACATTGTTCTCCTCTCCTCTGATTTATCCTCACAGGAACCCTGCGAGGTGGCTTCAGATGAGGGTATGCGACTGACCTGAAGTCACCCAGCAATTTGCCATGGCTGTGCCGGGGGTTTGAATCTGGTCCTCCCAGCGCTCAAATCACAGCATTACACTGGCTTTCAAAGTACAATACTGCTGGACGAGGATGGGATTTGAACCACATGTACTCTACAGGATGGGATTAGCAGTCCACTCTACTGTAGTTCTGCATTTGCAAAGAAACTCCTTGCTGCTTTTCCCCTCCTTGGCATAAAATGCAGGAATCCCATATCAGTTAACACTGAACGCACTTATTTTTTTATGTGTTATGTTTAATATAGCAACAGGCTGTATTTCATGGCCATTTTGCAAATGCAAAAAACCCAATTTTACCATCGAGCCTAACAGAGCCTCCTCTCCCAGCTCACCTTATACCTCCTCCTCCCTCCTGGCTTTGCAATCCACCTGCAAGAGATTTATGACCCACTTTTTGCTGTCTATCCGTAGACTGAAAGCCATTGCTCTAAAGGACCAATTTCCTCTAAAAATGACACAGAGTTAGTTTTTTCCATACCTTCTTAAAAGGAATCCATTTTAGACAACCCAGGTAAGATTTCTGCTCCTTAAGCCCTGCCCTTTTCAGCTGGTTCTTGGGCCTGCTTTCATCTTTGACCCTTACTTCTATGTTATTTCCTAAACCCTTGGCTGGATTTTAATCTCACCCTTTTCCTCGATCCTCCTGCCTCTCTTGTGGCGAACAGCCTCTATGACTTCATGCTTTGCTGTGTGCTTTAAAATGGTCCTACAAAGAACCTGGCTGGTCATAGCTAAAAGGTATCAACCTGACCAGTACAAATGTGCTCCAGATCAATCTGGTTGCATTCTTGTAAGCAGAGCATGTGCAGAAGATGTTCCGGATGTTTTTTGCCCTGCTTACGGGGGCTCCAAGATAAGAGGAACTGGCCATGAGCCCTTTATTATTTTTAACATCACCTTTTCCTTTCCCATATAAAAGCTGAGAGAGATTTGTGAGGAAGATTCCCAGTGGCCAGGCCCAGACCTCCCTGTTTCAACAATGCTACATCTGGTGCTGCCAGACCAATTTTATGGATAAGGGACTGATTTTTCTTTTTTTAGACACTGTCTTTTAGAGAAGGTTGCTCACATTTCCTTAGAATATATAACCCATCCTGCACCACTTCGCAATGGTTTTGCCATGCCTCTGGCATACCTAGCTGACTGTGCTGCCATGTGGATCAACTGAAAACTCAAAGTGATCTTGCCAGTTTGACTTTCAGATACTTGTTTCCTGAATTTCCCAGCACAGTGGGACAAGCCCTTGTTTACCTTTGGGATATAGTCACCTCCACAATACAGGGACCTGATAATTGTCCTATAGTCCCAGTGAAGTGATTCACAACCCCATTCCTCCCAAGCAAAGGAAGTACTTCTTCACCCAAAGAGTGATTAACACATGGAATTCACTGCCACAGGAGGTGGTGGTGGCTACAAGCATGGAATTAACATATGGAGCAGAGGTCCATCAGTGGCTATTAGCCACAAGGTATAGATAGGATCTCTCAGTCTGGGGCAAGTGATGCACTGTATTCTTGATGCTTGGGGGGGCAACAGTGGGAGGGCTTCTAGTGTCTTGGCCCCACCTGGTATTTTTGGCCACTGTGTGACAGAGTGTTGGACTGGATGGGCCATTGGCCTGATCCAACATTGGCTTCTCTTATGTTCTTATGTTCTTAATATTGCCAGGGGGTTGACCACAAAGCCTGGATTAATAGGACATCTGCAGTTTCTTCCACCTGCAGACAGACCTGAGAACACCAGGGGTGATTTGTTTTGCTGCGTCTGTTCTCTGTGTTTTCAAGGGTCCTGCAAGACTTGAATAGCAACAGAGACCATAAACAGCCCTTGTAGTCCAGCAGCCCAATCCTCAGCATCTTTGCACAAAAGCCAGTTCCATTTTCTTTAAGGGACTCTGCAATCTACTTCATCTGAGTAGGCGCGAACTACTGAAATATGTGAAGTATTCATGCCAAACGTCCCGTTCCTTTGCTCCAGTCTTCCAAAATCCTAATGCATTAGTGATTGAATATCCCATTTTGTTGATCGTACTAACACATTTCTGTGTAATCTGCCTTGAGTCCCTGTGAGCAAGGTAGACTATAAATAGTGTAAATAAATTTTAAAAAATAAAATAAATCTAGCCTGACAGCAAAAGCCAAGTGGTTGTTAAGATGTGACAATGGAGCAGCAATCTAAAAAATGCACCCCAAGGTCTCTGGGGAAATTGCAGAGGATATTGGTCAGATTGTACAAGGCAACTGATTATCTTCATCCAACATTCTGTTCTCAAGTGAATTAATATCAGTCTGGCTATATAACATCTTTGACATCTGGGTAT